TATATATATATATATATATATATATATATATATATATATATATATATTTATGAAAGGAATCTGTTAGCGGTCTTCAATCAAATTAAATTAGCGACTTTCATTCATAATTACATAAAAACTGCTAATTAAATATGCAGATATACATATGTGTATTTGTTGTTCGCAAAAGTTGCTGCTTTCATGCAGGTGTTCGTGCATGAAAGCAAAGTTGTTTACTTAAAACTATAAACAAAAAGCAAAAGTAGAACACTTGTACATACATAATTCTCCGAACAAGCTATTAAACCTTTTTGTATTTTTCTTTTATAGATGCGTGTAAGCTAAAAAAAACAAGTAAAAAATTAAATGCGGTCGAGACAGAATCTTTTATCATCGTTTACCCCAAAAAATGCCAAAAGAAGTAAAAGAACAAAATTCTCATGCTCTATATATAACATAGAGCGGGCGCAGTTGATTTCGTCTACTTTCAAAATAAAAATTTTTATCGTAGAGCCATATGGGCGTTGTAGGCATGCCCTTTTAAAAGTTTAGGTCAATCCCAAATTCTTTTGTAAACATGTACGCGTTATCTTCATTTTTTGAAATCGTTAACTCGATATCCACAAGTAGACTGAGCAACAAAGAAAGGCGTCTATCGATCGGTATATCGATATACTTTGTGGGGTCACTGATGCTTCCTTCTGGGCGTCGCAAACTTTTTGACAAAATCAATATACCGCTCATTCTTCGGTGATGGGTACAAGTAAAAATGTCCATGAAAAGAAGTTAAACGCATATAATATTGAAGAGATTACGTTCAGTTGTAATAAAAGTGAAAGTTACGCTATTTTTTCAAACTTCTTTGTATAATAAGAATGAACGCATATATGTAAGACCATAGCAAAAATCTGTCGAATGTCTGTTACAGCTTCTTGCAAAACATAACTAATGGGTACAGAAAATGATTTAGATTTGAGCTTGTCTGCCTGTTTCTTCTTTCTGCCCATCTAACGGCTGGCCACTTATTTTTGTGTTCAGCCTAGAAATAGAAAAATTTTTACGAAAACGAGGGGGAAAAAATTGAATTTGCTAAATTTGCACCACGTTATGCCGATGCGCTTTGCCCAACGACGGACGCTATAGAAAATAGTTCGGATCGGCCACTTTTTCACCCACTTCCTATATAACGCCTTATATTGAAAGGATTTGATATGAATAACTGAAGGATGGTGTCAACTATCTAGTGTGGAGCCGTAACCCATTGTAGTGTTTATAATTTTGGATTGTGGTAAGCAGAGTAGTGTAGAATATTTAATGAACGGTCTCGCCTGATTGTAACACTTTAGATTGTTTTTGTTAGTGTTTGCTCTTTCCTTTTTATTAATACTTGATAACCTTGTCTTTTTTAAATTTTTAGAAAGGAAATAATTGCGTACGTCTGAGAAATAACCCCTGGTACAGAGAAATAATTGTGTATGGATGAAAGATAATCCCTGGTAGAAAGAAATGGTAACAAAAAAAGTCGGCTATCGCATAGTTTCCAAATGGACGAAATAAATTCGAACTTTGCATGGCCGCTGAGTCCATGTTGTCGTTACGTTGGTGATTCATATCAATCATTGTGTTCTTTCTTCCACGAGTATCGATGCTGAAACTGGTTTCTTTTGTGTTCACAATCACTGCAGTTTCCATATAAATTTCGCAGTGTCTATAATTAGCAATTGTTTTTATATCTTAGTAGACTTTGGGTACATCTGAATGGGCGTTCGCGATGCATGTCGTTACGTCCTGCCTTTGGCCATTGCCCACTTGAGAAGAGAGAGAAAGCAGAAAAGTCAGCCATCGTCTAAAGATTGCCTCGGCCATCTTCACCAAGTTTTAGCCTAAAGGGAGCTGCTTCGTTCTTATGAACCAGCTTAACTTAATTTATTAGATCGGAGGAGATTTGAGCATAAAACGTGTGTCAAACGGTCAAAACTTTTTGTTTCAACCGTTGGTGTGGGGCGAGGAAGTCGAGAGGTTTTGAAAGTCGATAATTTTCTTTATGGTTTAATTAAGCTGAGTAAGCTAAGAGCTTAATGCCCTTTGCAATGATTTACTCTTGATTACCTTTTTTGAGCTCTTCGGCGCATTTTTATATCCAAAACTTTACACATGTTATTGATTGTATAAATTTTTGCAAACTCTACGTATCCCCTGGTAACTAGTATAACTTATATGCTCCTAACCAGGGATGATATTTATCAGCATGTCGCTTCATGCCTGTCTGAATAAATATCGCAATCGCATTTACAATGACTATATATATTGGTAAAATACTGTCCTAACGGTTATCTTAACGTTTTCATTCATTGTTTCTAAGGGTCGATTATGACATTTGTTGCAATTTTCATTGAAATTTCCACTTATCGAAAATTAGAATATATTATGAAACAGTAAATGCTTGAAGAAGGCTTTGTATCCAATAAAAAAGTCATATCTGCTCATAGAAATATTTCATGAGTTGACGGTAGCTTATTATTAGAATCGAAAGTGCTTTCCAGTTTGTGTAAACAGATGCAAAAGTTTAGGAAAACAAGAGTATGTTCGCGAAGAGAAAAACGTTAAGAAATTATGTTATACTTTCAGAAATAAAATACATAACCGAGAAGTAAAACAAATCAATGATTTCCTCTTCTTCTTTACTACCTTACCTAAATAATTTTAATAATTTCATCGATCAGCAAGATCGCACAGCAAAACCGACACCCATACAACTTTAACGTATAAATACAAAATTTTAAATGTATATTTATATAGGAGCTCTTGTACTACTACGCGTTGATTTGCATTCCACTTTCCTGTCGAAAAAATATGAATTATTAACATAAAAATTTAATCGTCGCTAACTCAAAAAAATTTAATCCAGTGCATATAAGAAATCTCTTAAATTTATTGTTTTTTATTATTGTTTTCATTTCGCGTAATGTGAATTAAAAATTTTAGAGTAGGAAGTAGAAAGAAGAGCAACAAATGACTTATTTCTTTCGATTCTCTTCGATTCACTGTCGTTCAATATAGCGTATGTAGCGTTTGAGAGACGCTTATTATTAACCGAGAGAGAAAAAATGCAAGAGATTAAAGGTGAACATTTTACTATGAAAAGTAAAGCCTTAGTGTAACGTAAGAGGGCGTTTTACGCTAAATTTAATACTATTGGAGTAGTGTTGGCAGCACTGCACATGTACACAGAAACTGTCAGAATTAGTATTTGTTAGTATTTTTAGTTTACAGCATTAATTCAAGAGTGCAGGGTGTGTGAACTGCGCTTGCACAGATGTGTATATAACAAACAACAATAACATAAGAATAGAAATAAAATTCTTTTATTTTCTGTTATAAATTTGGTGCGAAAAGTGGACTTAAAATAATAAAAACAAAACTAAAATTGGTTTTATACAATCCAATTATATTCAAAATATCTTTAAAACAAAATTAAAGGAAAATTTTGTGAACTAACGAAAACTAATTCGGCAAATGAGAGGAACAATGTGAAGAATACAGATTTTGGCTTTTTGTTTACGTTTATTTTCAATATGTATTGCAGTGTATGTGCCATTGTGTAAAACAAGTATAATAGAAAGAAAAAAGAAACGCATTGAGAAAAAGTGCGAAACATGAGTGAGCGCAGTGAGAGAGAATACCAGAGAACTTTTAATATAGCTGTTCTGTTTGCTTTTGTTTCAAAGGAAAATATTCTATTGTAAAAAAACAGAAAAAAAAATTAAACAAAAAAATAGTGATTACAGAAAAATAATGCTGTGCTTAGTGAAGTTGTAGAAAATTCCTGTAATAATACCTCAATGTACCGGTAAATAGAGTTAGTAATAATTGCAAATGAAAATTTATTTAAAAGATAGGGTCTTGAATACAGTGGGAAAAACTTAAATAGAAAAAAATAAAATGTTGTTACCTCCGTTAACATTTAACAGAAGCCGGTTACAGTCTCTGTCCCTGGGAATACTGTTATTATATATGGTAACCGGCTGTCAAAGCCATTTGAATTTGTATCTGAATCCGCAGGAAGTAATGCGTCTATTAGGTAAGTACAGCTCGTTAAACTAAACCATTATAAAATTAAAAGCAAAAGTATTTTAAAAAACATATAATAAATAATTTGAATTAAACTTTCAAGTGGCACCAAAATTGAGAGAATTTCTGTTAAATCCCTAATACTTCAATTACCAAGCTTTTTTTATGTTGCGATTGCTTTGCATTTATAGTGTGATTGCGTGTAAGTGTCAAGTGTTTTCTCAAAATTCTCCTCTGTTTGTATTTGTTTTTCTGAGTGTTTAACTCGGCACAGCTGCCTTTGCATACGCTGCTGGATATCGACAATGTTTTGTTTTCTTTTTCGTCTTCCCTTGGGTTTGCTCATGCTAGACTGTAAAATAAACATCATTATCATTTGTCTGTTAAAGTCAATATTAAATTTCATGTACATTCAAATTAAAATGAAAAATCTTATGAAGCAGCAACAAGTACAAACATTTGCCTAACTATTTGTAAGCTTTTTATAAGTAAATGAAGAAATTTCCTAAATAAAAACGCTTAATAATATTTGCGAAAATCCTTAAAGCCAATAACGCAGCGCATTGTCATTGGAAAATCTGAAGTTTATTGTGTGTCTTGACTATCGTAAAAACTTCAACAACAGTTCCAACCTAGGCTTGCTTTTCAGCCTACAAAATATGAAAAAGTTAGCGTAAAAATTACTGAGGTTTCTCACCTGGTAAAGATCATTTTTATTCACTGACTTTAAGTAATAGCAATTTAAAGAACTTCAAGATTAGTCAATTAATGAAATGTGACGCTTATAGAAACATTGCTTTAATTTTTGTGCCTATTATGTGCGCTGAAAATAACAAGTGATTATTTGACATAAACATAACATAAACGTTTCCTTATGTTCAATGTCAGCATAAATTCTTGCTATTTTTCTTGGAAGCTTTTCCGCATTTCCGCATTTAGGATAAGGAGTAAAATTTTTGCGTTACTTTTAATCTTACTTATGTGAAACATAATTACTCCATGACGGAAATGGCAATAACTTGGACGAAGGATGTTTAGAAATCTTTTTCGCAGAACAGCTGCTTTAGTTTTAAACTATGATCAGATGATTCCTATGATAAAATTAAAAACGACAGTAAGTCGATATGCACGTACAAGGACTCTTGTAGTACAATTTCCAGTTTCCTGGGATTTATTTGCTTATTCCATTATCCCTCGTGTTTCTGGCTACTATGTACTTGTTTCGCCATATAAACTCCCAATCAGTATTTTTGGCACCTTGGTATATAGATTTATGGAAAAATTTTACGCTGAACTTTCGCTTCACTGACAGTATAAGGATGTACAATCAATACTTCTCTATATTCAAAATGATAAACGCCACGGCATGATAGATTAAACTTTTCTTAACAATTATCTTGATCTAGAAGTTACATGAAAGTCCGGAGAAAGTAGAGCAGGAAAAGATTAGAAACTTTAACGACAAAAAAATGCACTTCGTTCATGGTTTGATATAAAAAAAGAAAAATGGTTAATTAAGAAGTAACAGTTACAAATTTGTATTCAAATACAAAATTTGCGTTAGGACGTATAGAAAATTAGAAGCAAAAAAGAAATATATTTTTATATATATACGCGTATATATAAAAAAAATTGTTGTCAGAACAGGTATACCTGTCGTCTGCGATGGGTTACTTTGCAGATTTTCCAGGCCATTGTTCTTCTTATGCCTCGGATATTTATTGAGGTCCTCTTTATTAACGAAATTAGCATGATTGTCAACGCCATAAAGAGTAAGTTTATAGTCCTCCTCAGGCAATTTAATAAAAATCCTTCTGGTTAAACGTAATACGGACCTGTCCTTAATGAGCGCCTCTAAATGCTCACCAAATTTGCAATAAGTGCAAACTTTTTTATTCTGGGGAATCATTCAACAATTGTTCCGCTATCTTTTGTCACATTATGAAACTGTTTTTGTCGATAAATAATTGTAGATAGAATATCACGGGTGCTTAATTTTTCATATAATTCCTCGTATGTTTTGTTAATTGAGGAGCGCGGACTGCACAAACGCTGTAATATACAACAACCAACACTTCCAATAAATTTAAGTAGCTTAATCTTTTGCATTATCTTTTTGGCCATTTACTTCACAGATATTAATATCTAGCCTCTCTTTCCAAATATTTCACCCGTCTGTTTTTGGAGAAAATTCTATTAAACGTGTTATATTATACAAAGTTGATGGCTGCGCACTATTCTCATTCTTTGTAGTCATTTCGATTTAGTTTTAATATATTGCTGCTTAATTCACGTTTTTACTATTTTGTGCATATATGGAAGAATTGTCAGATGCAAGGTTTAGTAATTAAATATAAAGGCATTGCCACACAATTTCTTTTTTCCTACATTGAAGTCTGGCAGCGATTTTTCGGTTGAGAGGCTGGTTTTCTTTTTCTTTTATATATAAAAAAAAATTTTTTTTTCGGTTTTATTGAGTTACTCTGCACAGGGGGATGCGCATTCAATGCGCGGCAAGACCGGATGAGTTTAATTAATTTCATTTTTTTATATGTTGCTGGATTTATTACTAAATTTTCTTTTGTATAAAATATTATGCATATTGGAAATTTTTTTAGTGAGTATTTGTTTTTATTGCCAAATTGGTGGTATTGAGCCATCCCATCTCACAACGAGCAAGTCCTAGACTTTTGATTGAGTCCCCGTGACTGTTGCTAAACTAAAGAGCAAAGAAGTAAGAATATTATTATCACGTACGACTAAATCTTTCGTACCCACCGCCTCTTTCATAGAAAAACCTAAAAAAGAAAAAATTAAAATTCCAGGTTCTATAATATTCCACGTCCGATAATACATTAAGATACACAAGAGAATTTTTATTGGATGTCTACGGTGGCCTATGAGAAGACCGGGGAAAAATAGCTATCGTTTTCAATGAAGGCCGTCTAAGTATTATTTTTTTCTTACTCTTTTCGCTTGCCAAGAGTAGATCCGACAGTTTGCTAAACACAATCTATACTTCCAGATTTATATGATATGCAACCTTTCCTTTGTTTGCTAGATCTGCTAACCATGCATATTCATACAAATTTCTAACAATAGATTACTCTGGTGTGGCGATGATAATTGATTATTATTTTTTATTTTCATATCGTTTGCTAATAGTTATTGTGTTCATATATTCTTGATCGAGTTCCAGTTCTGAACCAAACTAAGCATGTCTATCTGTCCGCCTGTGTAACGTTTGTTGTAAACATTCTTTTTGCCGCAAAATGGACTTCAAATTTGGCAGAAACATTGGAAGTTCTTGAACATAGGCTGGTATGGAAAATCGGTCGAAGGACACGCCTACAGGACTACTTAACATCTCTGTTTTTGAAAAGTAATAAAAAATGGTCTTTTACTGATTACTCATAAAGTACAACAATGCGCCATACAAATTTTCACAGAATAGGAAAATAGGAAAAATCAACCGCGCCCATCCAAGTGTGAACATTTAGTTCTTTTCCTTCTTTTTTCATTAGCGATACTTTTCTACGATCAACAGCAACTTCATGTGTATCATGTGTAACATGTGGACGAAAGTTAAATAAAAGGTGTATTTGTTTTATGACATCAGAAAGGTGGAAATCTCGCCGCGGCCCAGTGAGCCACAAAGACACCTAGATGATGATGTCTTATCTCGACAAAAGCGCTGCGAAGTTTTACTTCGTGGAGAAATGCTTGACAACAATTTCCTATAAATTATATATTATATTATATATATTATATTATATATATTATATTATATTATATATTATATATTCTCCCCCAATCTGCTGTTGTGGACAAACTCTTACTATAAAGCACATTCTCTGCGACTGCCTCAACTTTTCCTTGGCTAGAAGTATTGCATTTGGAACGATTAACCCTTTGTACATTCTACAATCAACTTCAGAACAGAATATCAATTCAATATTTTACTTTATTAATACTACTAAGCTTATTATCTAATATCCATTTTTTTAAATTAGAGCCGATAGCCTGTGTTGCTAGTGCTCAATGTCTCTTTTTTTAGTCTAAGAATTCAATTCATTAGTCTAAAATTAAAAATAATAATAATAATAATAATAATAATACATAAATACATAAATGGATTGCCAATTGTCTGGTAAAATTAGCATGAATAGCATTTCATGAAACACCGTCTTTTGCATCAATGGCTGAGAAAAGGATGTATCCCGTTTTTTTTATTTTGTCTCTAATACATGGTATTTCATCGGAGAATTTGTAAGGTAAATATAATTTTAGGTCGAGCCTGCCAAGGCATGACTGTCTTTCTCAAATATCTCTCTAGATATTTTATTAAAGGTTCAATGGGAAATCTGATATAAAAATATATTAATCGCACCTTACAATTTAATATTTTTTTATACAATTTCAAAGATTTTAGTGAATTTGTAAATAGAACCTCTACGGTAACCGTAATTTTGTTCTCTTTATGCTCTTAAGTACGTGTTATGGGTGTGCTTATAACATGAAGCAAAAAGTGTTTGCTGAATATTTTACTCTTCTACTCGAAATACAATTTATTTGCCTTTGCTCAGTTCCGCAGTTCAGAAGTGGCTTCGCGGACGATGTTTTGCCAGAAACAACCAGACAAAAACAAAAAAAAAAAGATATATTGTGAAGTTTGTCGACTTTTTCCATTTATTTGCAGATTTGTTGTAGGATCGTCCGTCACATACGTGCAAAAATTATTATTGTTGCATCTACTTCAATTATTGAGTAACGAGTAAAACCTGAATTTTTTGCCTTCGGAAGCGGAGATCTTCTCAGCTTAAGTTGCACGCCTATAGCGCGTCATTCAAGCAATTTCATCCTTTTTCCACCCATTTACCAACTGGCACGCGACAACTTCCAATGCTTTTGTCAAATGTGAAGGCAATGTTTTAATTTTTGCAACCCGAAGAATGTGTTCCACGTATGCAGTTTTAATTCGACGCACAGGGAAGCTTGGATCGGTGCAGA